AATGTGGGAGAACTCAGATATACTAAGAGCATGATTAATGGGAGTTCTTAGAATGAATTCTTAGCGAAATATAAAAAACCGTCTATTAATATTTAACTAAAAAAATTAAGAACTGACTCTTAAATAAGATATCTAAGAGTCGACTCTTAATTTTTTAGTTTAAAATGAAGAAACGATTTCTTATATTCCAATAAGAATTCCATCTTAAAAATTCTTCATTAATCATGCTCTAATACTGTTAGAGTTCAAAAATATGTTTAAACCAAGCAATCATGTTTGTTAGAGCTCTAGAATAAAAAAAAATCCAAAACATGTTTAACGCGAGCATCGAATCTATTATGGTTATAGTGTCTGCCTCCCTGCCATCATTCATTTCACCTTGTATGCTTTACTTACACCTTTTAATATCAAATAAAAATCCAAAGGAGCTTTGAACCAAAATGAACTAAATCAAAATCATAGGCTAAGAGGGGGGGAATCATATACTCTGGAGATTTGGAATTATCCTTTCACAATTTGGACTAAAAATGGTCAAATACTTGTGACGCGTCCCTTTTCTCCTTTACGAGGAAAAAACTGGGAAATTTCTCAGGTTTTTTTCTTTCTTTATGGCAGTGAAGTTTTTCAGTATTGATAGACATATTTTATACGTTAAGAAAAAAATCAAAGACACATTTTATTTTCCTACACTTGTAAAATCTAATGCCTTATTTATTTATTTTGGTCACCAAACAAATTTTAACATATCATATAATTCCAATTTATTCAATGTATTTTTAATACATGCGATTAATATAAACAACAATATAAATGGATTAGCAATTTGGCAAGCGTCTTTATTTGGGGTCTTCAAGAACGCATTTCAGGCAATTTGATGACTAGGTGGGAGTTAATAATAAATAAAAAACTGTTTGCTTACTTCATGGAATATTTTTGGGGGACCTGTAACTCCTTTTTGACCTATAACCACTTCTTTTTTTTTTGCCAATAAAATTGTGCTGTGATTTGGTGACATTTTACTGTAGTGACCCACAACAAAAATATCTGAGGTTATAAAAGCCAACTCTTGCTCACATCTTATGCTCAAAGTAGGAGAGCAATTGCACTTACAAATTATTTGCTGCTTCTGATAAGAGATAGAGTGAGACAATGGGTGCTAACACTTCTTCGCCAAAAGAGAGACTTTCGTTGAGCGACCTCCGTGCCAGGAAGTCACGGACACCTTACAAAGTCAGCCCCTTTATTGTGGAAATGAAGAAAGAGAATCAGTGGAAATCTCAGTTCAACGCTCTCAAAGACACAAACACGCTGGTAACATATTACTTCATGCGCTTTCTAATTAATCTAATTTATAGCCACTTGTCTTGAGACTGAGGCTCTCTTGATAAGATTCAAGACACTTCTACCTGTTGAACCAGTGCAACTGACCATTTTATTGGGTTTAGTTTAAGCATATCATAATGTATATCCAATTACCATGTTCATATATAGCTGGTGATCGAGTTCACGGCCAAATGGTGTGGACCATGTAAATTCCTTGAGCCGAAGCTTGAAGATTTAGCGGCTAAGTATACCGATGTTGAGTTCGTGAAAATTGATGTCGATGTGATAATGGTAAGTACTTATCAATCCCTTCTCTTTCTCAAAGTCTAAAGCATATAACGAAAATATTTCAACAAGAAAAGTTATTTGCTTTGATTTATAAATAAGGTTTGATTGTAATACAGAGCGTGTGGAAGGAGTACAACCTTTATACTTTTCCTACGGTTGTATTCATGAAGAGAGGTCAAGAAGTAGACAGAGTTGTTGGTCTGCAGCTTGATGAGATAGAGGGAAAGCTCCACAAATACGCATACTCCTTTTGAAATAAATGAAGCTTTACTTTCATGCCAAACAAAGCTCCTCATGATTAGCTTATGCTAGGATCGGAATAGTTTACTCCTATGTAGTATTAAATTTTTGAACCAAGATTCAGCAAAATAAAACTTAATTAATTTGTGCGATGTAATGGAATTGGAAATCGGAATTGCATGTACCCTCCTCGTGTAATAATTTAATGACTAACTAGGTGTTTTGTCCGTATTTACGGTCATAATTCTCTTATGAATATTTATTAATTGATGTTTTATTAATTTAAAAATCAGCATAGTAAGTTATTACTTATGTTTTCAAAAAGTAAACATCAAAAATCAAATAATTATCAATGACAAAACTCAAACATCAGAAATACTTAAAAGAATATATTTTAAAAACTATTTTTCTCTATTTATATTTAATTATAATATTATATCTTAATTTTTAATTTTATATAAGAAAAACATATTTTCAAGATAACAATATAATGCATAAGTTATTTATTTTCTGAAACTATAATATGATAAAAAAATTTAACTATATAATAATTATATAAGATTATAGAAATTATGACATATAATTAAAATTACCTCAAATCATTGAGAACTTAATGAATCAGCAAATTCACTTCTTAAATAATTTTTCTTGAGTGATAATTTATATTTAATTAATAATAGATAATTTTCTATTTTACTTTTAAATTATATAATATAAAAATATATTTTTAGGATAACAATATAATACATAAGAATTGCCATATTCTCTAAAAGTATAATATTATTAGTGTAAATTCATTTCAATTATAGAATAACTACAACTTTTTATATCTTAATTTTAATTTTTTAATAGAAAAATATATTTCAAGACATTAACTTAATACATAAGAAGTATTTTATTTTCTAAGAATCTGATACTATTAATATAAATTTGTTTTAAATATATAATAAATTATATATAAAATTATATAAATTGATAAATTATCTAAATTACCTAAAATCATGGAAAATATGACAAATCAACAAACATCAAATTCACTTTTTAAATAATATTATAAATTTTTTACATGTTAATTAAAAAATTTATAATAGAAAAATATTTTTTAAAGATAACAGCATAATACATAAGAATTAACTTATTTTCTAAAATATCATATTATTAATAGAAATTAGTTTTAATTATATAATCAATAATAAACAAAATTATAGAAATTCTGATAAATGATCAAAATTACCTAGGATCATGAAGACAAATCAACAAATTCACTTTTCAAATAATTGTTTTGATGATTTATATTTAATTATTAATTATTAATAATATAATTTTTATATCTTAATTTTAAGTTTTATAATAGGAAAATATATTTTCAACATAACAACATAATCCATAATAATTATCTTTTTAGAAAAATATTAAATTATTAATATAAATTCGTTTTTAATTATATTTAAATATTAAATTATTAATATAAATTTGTTTTAGATAAATATAATAGTGTTTAGATCTTAACTTAAAATTTAAGTTTTATATATAAAAATATATTTCAAGATAACAACATAATTCAGAAAAAAAATTATCTTATTTACTAAAAATATGATATTTTCATACAAATTCGTTTTATTTATAAATAAAATATATATAAATAATAAAAATATGATAAGTAAACAAAATTACCTAAACTTGTGGAGAACATGACAACTAAGCAAATTTACTTCTTAAATAATAGGAGATTTATATTACAAAATAACAAATTAGTATTAAAAATTATACAGTTAATCAGTATTACAGCTAACCTAATTAACTAATTTCTATATAAGCTAGTTTTTGGTAAACTGGTGGGGATTAGGCTGAAAACATTCTTTTTAGTAATCAACCTGTCTTTGGTTCGAGCCAATCTTTTTTAGGTGTGATCAATATGGGTTTAGGGACATGAACGAGCACAAGGTAGAATGTCCAATGTATTGAGTTTCCCAACTCAAAAATGCAATAAACTTGAGTTCAATATTTAATCAAATAGTCTTTAAAACAAAGCTCCATTTTCTGGCTCAAATTATCCAAAGCAGTGATGAGTATGAAGATTTCTAAAGAGATTAAGATCTCTATTCATTTGAACTCTACCTCAGAAAGATCTCAGACTGAATGGAGAGAAATGTCATATATTTCTTCTCAGACTCGTTTGATTAACCATTTGGAAGTTCGCTCCAACTTCTGTTGTAAGGGGTACTCATTGAAGGTTAGAACTGCTCGGAGACTTGCACAAAACCAATACTTATTTAATCTCTTGTATCCGTTTGCGTTTCAGTTTGAGGAAATGTTTCTAAAACGCATGTCGATTGTATTAACAATGAATCCATCGTCGAGCTTAACTTCTCATCATCTCTCTTATATCGTTGTTCCAAACTTCCTGCTATATCAAGTTTATTATTTTCTAGACAGCTCGTGTATCACCTGTGAGTCTATGACTAAACTATAACATATTGTTTCTGTCACCTAATGTTTTTCTTAAACGACATCTGACATCATATTCGTATGGAAATACATTCTCACTTGGGACATGATGGAAAGTACATATTTATATGAATTTCGCCCACTCTTATATTTATTTTGGTATCTACACGCCCTATGATGATGGCATGCAGATTCTACAATGGTTAGTTTTTAATAATCGGAATCGACCGAATTATTTGCCTACAATTAACGTATTTGCTTATTAATCATTTTTTATATAATGGCGAGGTTCGTGTGACGGTTCTGGTATCAATGTGATATATGGATCTTGTTAAACTCTATCTTGTCATCCGAAATGGAGATTGTTATTTTTGCTTTGGTGGTATCTGTGTAAATAATTTATTTTTCAGAGCCACTTTAGTAGAAGAACAATTTAGTAATATCAAAAGGAAAAGGGAACAAATTTGTAGAAGAGTTGGTGAAGACTTGAGCACTGTAAAGTCTTTGATTATTGATAAGAAATCTTATAATAACATCATTTCATAATGGCGGATGTTCACATATAAAAATGCCTAAACTTAAATGATTCGTTTACAAAATAACAAAAAAATGAAAGATTAGCACCCACAATAATGATCTATCTGCAAACTAGTCTTATGATATACTTCAACTAATATTGCATAACACACATAGCACGCTATTTAAAAAGTATTTGAAGGTACCAGAACGACATGCATTGTTCGGCTATTTGGCGGAAGCTGCAAACGAAGAGGAAACAGCTTGCCGTTTAAAGGATTGCGTGTACACACAACAGCATCCTCCATGCTAGTCTCTTCCCTCAACGCCTGCGTCAACTGCTCCACGCTGTTTCCTTTGAAAGTTAAAGCGTATCCAACGGCTGACTCATCCTCCACGTGACCTTCTTCGTCAGCGATGTGGTAATATATGATCCTTCCTTCAGATTTCGGCGGCGACTCAGTCAACTAGTCAATAAAAAATCAAGAAAATGTTAAGACGACAATCTTGAAAATCTATAGGACTATTCAGTGATTTTTTTACGCAATGGAAAAGAAAATTTTAAAACCAGAAAACTTCTGAAAAAATCATCTTAGTACCAATTTTTTCAATAAAAAATAAATAATTTGCATCATAATAAATCAGCATTAAAAAATACCAACATTTTCCTCGGATGTGTCTGAAGAAGTCCTAGACACCGGAGGACTTGACGGCCTCCTATGTGGCGGAGGACTCGACGGCCTCCTCCTATGTGGCGGAGGAGGTGTTGCCTGTGCTGGAGGAGGAGTAGCCGTTTCAATCAAGATCTCAACGATATCAACATCCCACAAGAACGAGTCCGAACTATGAGGAGAGTCATGAGTGACTGAGTTACGTGTTAGAGATAGATCACGAGAGAACAATCTTTCTGAAAGCTGCCTTTATTAAAACCAACAAAAGCTCTGTGTTAAGAAACAAAGTACTACAACGATAGTCTTATATAAGACCTAATGATCGAAATAAAAGGAAAACAAAGCTTATCCCTACTAACAAAACTTATCCCTATTAATTAGCAAAACCATAATTATCTAAAAANAAACCAACAAAAGCTCTGTGTTAAGAAACAAAGTACTACAACGATAGTCTTATATAAGACCTAATGATCGAAATAAAAGGAAAACAAAGCTTATCCCTACTAACAAAACTTATCCCTATTAATTAGCAAAACCATAATTATCTAAAAAACCTTGACTTGATCCTCAAGTCTTTGAACCTTATCGTAATCTTAGTCTTCAATTCCTCCCCTAAACTGGAAACACTCTTGTCTTCCAGTTTAACTTCTCTTTACTTCTACTCCCATGTAACCTCTCAACTTCTCGAACACATCTAACTTCACAGCCTTGGTCATTATGTCTGCCAATTGATCTTGTGTAGAGCAGTACTCTAACTCAATTATCTCATCACTTACCAACTCACGTAAGAAGTGAAACCTCACTTGAATGTGTTTACTTCTCCCATGAAAGACAGGATTTTTAGACAACTTGATAGTAGAACTGTTATCACAAAACAGAACCGTCCTCTCCTCTTGCTTGCATCCAATCTCTTCCAATACATTCCTCAGCCACACAGCTTGACATGCTCCTGCAGCAGCTGAGACATACTCCGCTTCAGTTGTTGATAAAGTGACTATAGGTTGTTTCCTTGATGCCCATGAGATTGCTCCACCTCCGTTTATAAAAACATAACCCGACGTACTCTTTCTATCATCTTCATCTCCAGCATAATCACTATCCACAAAACCCATTAATTCCTCCTTGTAGCCATACTGATACTGTATCCCATACTCCATTGTTCCTTGAACATATCTCAGAATTCTCTTCACAGCCAGAAGATGTTGTTCAGTCGGTTTCTCCATGTACCTACTCACAAGATTAACTGAATAAATGAGATCAGGTCGCGTAGCAGTAAGGTATCTCAAGCTTCCAACTATCTGTTTGTAAAGCGTTGCATCCACTCGTGCGCCTGCTCCCTCTTTAGTAAGTTTGCAGCCTTGTACCATTGGATTCCTAACTGAATTACAATGTTCCATGCCGAACCTCTTTATTACTTCACTTGCATACTTCTTTTGATTAATGAAGATACCTTTCTCGTCTTGTGTTACTTCAACGCCAAGAAAGTACTTCATTTTTCCAAGATCAGACATTGCAAACTCCTTTTTCATTGATTCCTTGAACTCTTCTCGCATCATCATGGAACTGCTTGTGTAGATCACATCATCAACATACACACTTACTATTAATGCATTGTCTCCTTCAGTCTTCACGAATAAAGTGTGTTCGCAGTAACATTTTTTGAACCCCTCCTTCTCAAAATATCCTTCGATCTTACTGTACCAAGCTCTCGGAGCTTGTCTCAGTCCGTACAGGGCTTTGCTCAGCTTATACACCTTTCTTTCTTCGTTCTTGACCTCAAAACCTTTCGGTTGCTCAACGTACACGTCTTCTTTGAGCTCACCGTGCAGGAATGCACTCTTTACATCTAGTTGATGTACACACCAACCTCTCTGAGCTGCAATGCTGAGTAGCAGTCGGATTGTATCCCATCTAGCAACCGGGGCGAACACTTCATGAAAATCAACACCTTGAGTTTGATGAAATCCTTTTGCCACCAATCTAGCTTTGTGTTTGTCAACTTCCCCTTTTTCATTCAACTTTGTCTTGAATATCCATTTAACACCAATTACCTTTGAACCCTCTGGCAGCTCCACTAGCTCCCAAGTATTGTTTTCTTCTATTGAGTTCATTTCTGCTTCCATCGCCTGCTTCCATTTTTCGTGATTCACCGCTTCTTCAAATTTCTCTGGATCTCCCATCTCGGTTGTCAATACCATCAAGTCTTCAACTTCCTCCATGAATAGACCCATCTCATAGTCTCTCATCCAAACAGGTTTTGTTTTGCTTCTACCTGTTCTTGTTCTCTCAGGTTCTACTACTTCTTCTTGCTCAGGGTTAGTGTCTTCGTTCTCATCTTGGGTGGTCACTGGTGGTGTTGGTGGATTGTCTTCTCCTTCCTCTGCTCCATTCTCATTTTCTCCTCCTCCATTGGTATCTCCTATTGTTTCCGTTGGAGTTGATTCCTCCCCTTCATCAATGAGTTGTTCTTCTTCTTCATTCTCTTCCCAATCCCAACGTTCTCCCTCATCAAATCTTACATCTTTACTTATCAAAATCTTCTTCTCCTTTGGATCGTATAAGCGGTATCCTTTTGATTCTCTACTGACTCCAAACATGACACACTTGATGCTCTTCTCATCTAACTTTACGCGTCTTTCATACGGAATGTGTGCATACGCAATGCAGCCAAAGACACGCAAATGATCCACGGATGGTTTCATGCCACTCCACTTCTCAGCCGGTGTGGTGTCTCCTAGTATGACCGTGGGGCTCCTGTTGAGTATATGTACTGCATACTGAGTTGCTTCAGTCCAAAATCTGATAGGCACTTTCATTCCGAATAGCATGCATCGCACCATGTTCATCAGGCTCCTGTTCTTCCTCTCTGCCACCCCATTCTGCTGGGGTGTGTACGCAGTTGTAAGTTGCCGCTTGATCCCATTGTCTATACAATATTGCTGGAACGTCTTTGAGTTGTACTCACCACCTCTGTCTGACCTGAGACACACCAGCAGTTCACCACTTTCTCTTTCAGCTGCTAATCTGAACTCCTTGAATGCTTTAAATGCTTCTGATTTTTCTGCTAAGAATGTTGTCCAGCACTTTCGACTGTAGTCATCTATAAAATTAATTATATATCTCTTTCCACTTGCTGAGGTAGGTGCTACAGGACCACAGATGTCAGTGTGAACTAGCTCCAGACATCTACTCGCTCTCCACTTGCTCTGCTTGGGAATGTTTGATCGTATCTGCTTCCCTTTCATACACACCTCACATATTTTTCCTTTACTCGTAAGCTTTGGTAATCCCAGCACCATATCTTTGTCCACCATTGTTGCCAGATTGTCATGACTGAGATGTCCTAATCTGCAGTGCCACACCTCCTCTGCATCTCCAACTGCAGTCATCAGGTTTTGTGCTTCCCCAACTTCATCTCTTGCTTCTCTCGCACGTATAATGAACATTCTGTTCCTGGACATTGTTGACCTCATGATCATTCTCCTCTGCTGCTTGTGCCACACTTCACATACATCATCCTCGATCACAATTCTCAATCCCTTTTGCTGCAACTGACCGACACTCATTAGGTTGTTCTTGAGTCCTGGTACATAATATACCGAGGTTACGACTTGAAAGATCCCATCAATCTCTAGTCTCAAGTTTCCTTTTCCCTCAACTAGCATTTTCCTGTCATCTCCCAGTTTGACTTGATGTTGATAGCTTCCGTCAAAGTCCATAAACCACTCCTTCACACCGCACATATGGTTACTGCAACCAGAATCAAGATACCAAACGTGTCTTTCTTCTGCTTTCATTACATCACTTTGTGCCATTAGAAGTAGATCCTCCTCCAACTCTGCATAATTTGCACTCCTTTCCCATGTGGGACATTCGTTTTTGAAGTGACCCATCTTGTGACATTTATAGCACTCGACGTTGTCCTTGTTAAAACTTGTGTTACCTCTGCCTCTTCCTCCTCTACCACCACGGTATGAGTTCCTTCCTTGAGAGTATCCACCACGACCTCTACCTCCTTCCATCTTGAGCACCTGCTCTTCTGTTGAATGCTTGCTCAGATTTTGCTCGTGCACGAGCAGTGAGCTTTGCAGTTCATCCACAGTCATCTCAGTGATGTCCTTTGACTCTTCAATAGCACATACTACGTACGTGTACTTCTCCACCAGAGTACGAAGTATCTTCTCTACCACCTTTGCATCAGGAATGTCCTCACCTAGATTTCTCATGTCGTTTGATACCATCATGACTCTTGAGAAGTATTCGGTAATAGAATCTCCATCCTTCATCTCTAATACTTCAAAGTTTCTCCTCAACCTCTGAAGTTGCGAACTTTGAACTCTCTTATTCCCCTGATACTTGTTCTTCATAGAATCCCAAATATCTTTAGCCGTCTCCTTCTTCACAATTGTTTTCAAAATTGTCTTGTCAATAGACGCAAAAAGATAATTCTTCACTTTTAGGTCTTTAAGCTTCTGTTCAGACAACTCGGTCTGTTGTGCTTCGGTCAAGACAGTATCCTTATCGTACTTCACCATGCCTGTTTCTACAAGCTCCCACCACACCTTCGACCTTAACAGATTTTCCATGAGCATAGCCCAATGCTCATAATCTCCATCGAACTTAGGAATTCTCAATTCTTTTTCACTCATCTTTTCTTCTTCTTGACACAGGTTTGGATTGTGTGCTCTGATACCACTTGTTAGAGATAGATCACGAGAGAACAATCTTTCTGAAAGCTGCCTTTATTAAAACCAACAAAAGCTCTGTGTTAAGAAACAAAGTACTACAACGATAGTCTTATATAAGACCTAATGATCGAAATAAAAGGAAAACAAAGCTTATCCCTACTAACAAAACTTATCCCTATTAATTAGCAAAACCATAATTATCTAAAAANAAACCAACAAAAGCTCTGTGTTAAGAAACAAAGTACTACAACGATAGTCTTATATAAGACCTAATGATCGAAATAAAAGGAAAACAAAGCTTATCCCTACTAACAAAACTTATCCCTATTAATTAGCAAAACCATAATTATCTAAAAAACCTTGACTTGATCCTCAAGTCTTTGAACCTTATCGTAATCTTAGTCTTCATTACGCCACGGAGGAAGTCCACCATTGGCTCTTAGAAAGTTACCGTATCTAGTTTTAAGCTTCATTTTGGATCCTTCTTTCACCGGCTCCCACTCAACGGACGAGTCGAGGCGACTCGGTTTCGACAAGACCACTTTAAGCCCCGTGGCACCGAGCAAGAACCGCTCGTTCGAAGCAGTGAGGTAGTTACCGTAGCAACTCCTCAAACGGATCACTTCAAAAGAACCACGAACTGGTTCGACGGTCCATCGAGTTCTCTTGTCGGAACCATTCCTGTCTTGAGTTACCGTCTCTTCGTCCTCGTCGGCCGTTAGATACTTCTCATGAACGTTACGCATCCTAACAGCTTTAGCTTTCTGGAAAAACTCCATTTTTCTGCTATGTACTAGCTAGCTATGTTATTACTTTGATTGGATTCACAAGCGAATTGTGATGTAAATGGAATGTTTGGTGTGTATTTATTATCTGAGACCAAGTCCAAAGCGGCACGCGGTGACGTGGGACCTTTTTCAATCGTTTATTTTGAATTAATTCAATAATGAATAGCCATGTGATAAAAAAAAACTAGCCACTATAGACATGAAAAGGCCGTGCCTAATGACGTGTTTCACTATATCTGTGATTTCCACATCAGCATATATATATATATATATATATATATATATATATATATAAGTCATTATTATTATCTTTTTATGGTGGATTAGGAAATTATTTACAAATTTTGATTTGATTCGTTATATTTTGATTCAAATTAATTTTTTTGAATATATGTAATTCTACAAACAATACAAATATGAATAAGTAATATCCGTGATAAAAAAAAAGCAAACCACAATACTAATATTTTAAAATGGATAACTAATATACATATAAATGAATTACATGTATACCTTATATAAATATTATATTTTCCATAAATTTTACAATAATTGTATTTATTAAAGTTATTATATTATTTATTCAAAAAATTAAAGTATATAATTTAATTTTTTTGTAGTAAACTATTAATTTTAATATTTGTTTATTTTTATTTGTACTGATTGAATTGAATATTCGATTATAAATTTAATTTTTTTCAAATATCAGAATGAATATATGGATAGTTATGAATCGAATCAAATAATTGATCTAGACAAAATAAATCAACTAATTTATTGTTTAGACGAAACATAAGTTCACAAATAACTCTAAAAACCTGAATATTCGATCTGGAACCACTCTTACTTTTTATGTAGTATGCTTCCCCCCCCCTCACATCTTGTAACCAAGAGAACACACTGTAGTATTTACTTATTTATTTGTTTCAAAGTTACTGTAGTATTTATACTTTATTTTATTTTTGAAAAGGATTTCTACTGTAGTATTTTTATTAAAAGGATTCTACAATGAAAATGAAATCTATTTAGTTTTCTGTGATGAAATTGAATCTATTTTGTTTCCCTCATTGCTTACAAGACAGCTAATTTTATAATGTGTAAACTCATCGGAAATTGTATATCACAGCTATATTAAAATGAATATAAGCAATAAAAACAATCCAAAAATGTATGAATGATATACAGATATGGGTGGGATCCATGGATATATGAGGGAAAAACAATGTACTATAATTTATTGCCCGTAAGAAACACCAAGATTGAGGTTGACGAGTGTGGGACTCTCTTTAAGGCGTAAGGGATGCCCCCATGACAAATAGATCATAAACGACAACTACTTATTTACATTTTTCTGGTGTCTGTAATACGTTACTCTTATTATTTACGTGTATTGCCGTTGTCATGGACCGGACAAACTAGGTCCGTGCCAAATCCGCCTAAGTCATCTGTTTTGGTTTTGGTTTGAATTTAAAACATGATCTTAGTTTTGGTCCGGTGATCAAGCCTCGGTGCGAAATTAACCAAGAAATACAAAAGAAATCGAATAGGATATTTCAAATTTGTTTGCCTCACTATATATACGAAGACAAATCAACATGCTATGCAAATTCATAACCAACTTAAAATAAGTGAACCGAAATCTACACCTAGTGATTTTAGTGATTGGATCAGCGTGTATTAATCCGCTAGTACTTGATAGCTAATCTGCTTTGAGTTCAGTCTTTTTTGCTTTTGTTTGAAACTTGTGATCGATAGTGATTTATATCCACGAATCATGAATCGGTCCTAAAGTTAACCGCAGATGAAAGTAATAGTGTTTATGACTCTTTTCTTACTTCTGCACAAAAGGTCAAAGTATAATAAGCACAGTAAATTAATAATTTTCACTAGGTGCAAATTAAACCGGTTCTAAAAATGACATAATTGGTTAAAATATTAAGATAATATTTTTTTAAAAATTATGTAAACATATAGTCCTAATACATTATTAGTATATATATATATATATATATATTATTCAATTATATGTTATTTACTTACAGTTAAGTCTATCTTTAATGTAAACACAAATAAAAATTTATGATATTTTTATCAGATTCAATATAAAATACATATATATTTTATGATAAATATTTTCTTCACACTAAATATTTTAATAAAAAAAACTAAAACAACTATGACAAAACATAAGGAAAAACGGTCATTTTATACTCACATCGATATGTTCAATTCATACCCGACTTATATGATCGTGCAAAAATCATTTGTACTTTCAAAAATTAAAATACCATACATATTATTTATTTTTTTGGTGAAATCATACATCAATAGTCACATCAACTATTATATCATCTAATTTGCTGTTGTGGATATTATGTAGTTGATTTTGTTGACGAACATGCAACGTGTACAATATTTGCTTAAAAAGAAATAAAAATAGCTGTTTACAAAAAATATTTTTTTTAAAATGTAAACGTTTTTATTATTATATAGCTTATCAATATTAGTTATTTAATAAAATTAACAAAACTTAATTAAATAATAAGATTTTCATCTTATATAAGAGATATGTTTGTTATAATGTTTTGATCATATCACAATACCGTTCTTATAAGAGTTGTATTTTTAATGATTTAAATTTAATGTCAGAGTTAGTTATTCTGGATTAATTTTGGTTATATTGTTTATATTTAAAAATTTTATGTTAATATATCATAAATTCTTAATCTTTTAATCTCTTCACACAAAATTATTCACATGATTGATTACATAATTGACCTATAAGATTTCTATATAAACACATAACCAAGATTAACATAAGAGTAATTGATAGGATAAAATAATCATAACAAATATATCTCTTATATAAGATTAAAATTATATTATTTAATTAAGGTTTTTTAAAAAAAATTACTAAATAATAAAAACTTATAAGCTTTTAATTTGTTTTTATAAACGTTTATATTTTCTAAAATATCTATTTAAAATAATATTGTACGCGTGATATTTTCGTCAACAAAATTAACTTACGGAACATCCACCTCAATAAAATTATATGATGTGATATCTAGTATAGCTACTGATGTATGATTTTACCAAAAAAAATAAACAATATATATATTATTTGAGTTTTTTTAAAAAAATGTATATGTTTTTATATAATCATATAACTATATATAAATTGAATATATTGCGATATATTAAGTATGAAATAAAACCTTTCCCAAAACATAAAAAAAAAAAACTCTTTTTTTTGAACGTACATTAAAAAACTCTCTCGCTCTCAAACACATCTTTAAGCCAGCCAAAAGGAGCTATTAAACTTAGAAAGTGCCAGTTGGCTTGGGCCACGGGCCCACTATATTGCTGCTCCAAGTATTTTTTGAGCTTAACGAACTCCAGTAGCTCACTAAATGGATACAATAAAACCTAGCTAAGTATGGCCATGGGTCTGGATGCAGGCCCAATAGTACGATTTCTTCTAACGACACGATTTTGAAGTTTCAAAGGTTTTGTTTGTTTTCTAAATAGTTTCAAAGGGTCATGATTGAGTTTGAGAAATATAATCAGACGATCATTATTAAAGAGAGACCAAGAAAGGTCAGCTTTATTTGATCCCATCGCATTAATTCCCCTTTGATATGAATCATGTCATGAATGTAAGGCTCCAAATCAACGGCTGTATCATTGCGCCTTAGATTTTTGCTGCGATCTTTATTGTCTGGAGGACAAAACTAAGATGTGAACAAAGTAGCCACTGTATTTCATTTATGTATATCAGGACCCGACCCGCCGGATAACGACAATGGATGAATGAATATGTTGATTTTGCGAAACAGATTTGACAAATGTAGATTTAGTGTGCTAACTGTTAAGCTATTTAAAAGACCAACTATGATTTGTTAAGAGTTTCAAAAGAAAAAACATGATTTGTTAAGTCCTTTTCCACATTTTATTTCTCGAATTTAAAACATAAAGGGATAACTGATGAGAAATGAAAAAGAATAATCCATTTATTGTATTCTTAAACAAAATTTACGAACTATAAATTTTTTTTCTTTCTTTCCTTTCTATTCCTTCTCATTTCTTTTATTACAGAAAAATATAAAATAAATTTATTATTATTAAATTAGATAAAGAATAATCATTCCTTTTATTTTATTTTTACGTATTTTTTTTTGTTTCTAATGTTTCTATGATAATTAACCGTTAAACCAAAAAAATAATATAGTCTTCTAATGTCGTTAAGTCCTTATATACCATATATGTGCATAAATGTTTTAGAAGTATGAGTTTTTATAAAACATGAATAATGAGAGTCTTTAATGCAGGACTCTCGGAATAATAAACCAAATATATGAACGTTGGATTCACAAATATATACATTTTCCAAATAATTTGTCATTATACAAAAATTTGGTGTAAACTCACAAGTTTTGTATGTTACATATTGAAAAACCTAACATAAAATTCTCACTGAAATAAGCTCATGAGTTCAAGTAATAATTCAAAGTATATATACAGATTCTACTTCATTATTGTAAAAATAAAATAAATAAAAAAGCATCCACTGTAATATGTATCATGTATGTCGTCCCCCTTTTGACCTTTTTTTTTCTACTTTTCGCTTGTGTGCTCGCATAGTCCCATTTGTTCTTTACGTCTCTCATTCAATTACTTTCTAAAAAGTGAACCTATGAGAAAAATGGAAGGAAATTATAAAACATTTTGAAATCGTTTTTTATCATGTGAAATTTTATTGGGAAAGCTTTTACGGATGATAAATTTTGAATTCGACTTTACTGCATAGAAAGAAACGAAAACATGATTAAAATACAAAGATATTAATGGTATAAACAAGAACATGAAGTAAAAAGTTAGAGAGGAACTCTTCAGTTTCCGACTTCCAAAACCTTCACGTGCCTCTTTCTCCCACCCTCTTCTTCACAACACTGTCCACTTCGAAAACTCCAGTCACCAGATTCAGATCTCTTCCTCTATGTCTCAGTCACCATCTTCTCCCCGACAGTGCTTTTCTCTACTCATCTTTGTTCTCACCATTGCTAAAACTTACTCATCTCCATGCTCATCCTCTTCCTTTCATTGCCCTCCTTTTAACTCATCTCCACCGTTCCCATTCTCTACCTCTCCGGGTTGTGGCCACCCAAACTTCCAGATCCAATGCTCATCCCCACGCGCCACCATCTCAATCAAAAACCTCACTTTCTCTCTCCTCCATTACTCCTCCCTCGCCTCCTCTCTCACCCTCTCTCCACAGCTAGACTCTAACCAAAACAACTGCTCATCTCTCCGGTTCTCCTCCTCATCCCCAAACCGGTTCATAGACCTAACCGGTTCTCCTTTCAGAGTCTCCGACTCTTCTTGCTCCCGTCTCTCTCTCCTCCGCCCTTGCTCTCCCTTAACTCTCCCTAACTGTAGTCGTTGCCCTTCGGACTGCAAACTACTAAAGAACCCGGGTCGGATCCTCCACGGATGCGAATCAACCCACGGATCCTTGTCCGAGCAAGGCTGCCAAGGAGATCTCCTAAGCTTCCTCCAAGACTTTTTAACCCGTTTCGGCTTCGAAGTCGAATGGGACGAGTCTCAAGACCCATACTTCACTAAATGCAGAGACTGTCGGGTCAAAAACGGACTCTGCGGGTTTAACTCCACCCACCCGGATCAACACTTCATCTGTTTCTCCTCTCGGTCAACGACAACAGTCAACAACCATGTCGCTGTCTTATGTCTCATCTTCGCTTTAACATCTCTCCTCCTCGCCATCTCCGTCACGGTCGCAATCTTCCGATCAAGAAGAGGCACCTTCCTCTCCTCCGTCAACGAAGAAGACCCCGCCGCTCTCTTCCTCCGCCGCCACCGCGCCGCCGCCCTCCTCCCTCCGGTCTTCACCTTCGAGGAGCTCGAAACCGCCACCAACAAGTTCGACCCCAAACGCAAGATCGGCGACGGAGGGTTCGGCTCCGTATACCTAGGCCAGCTCGCCGACGGGCAGCTCCTCGCCGTGAAGTTCCTCCACCACCACCACGGCGCCACCGCCGCTGACACCGAGCACTGCAAAGCCTTCTCCATGAAATCCTTCTGCAACGAGATCTTGATCCTCTCTTCCATCAACCACCCGAACCTAGTCAAGCTCCACGGCTACTGCTCCGACCCGAGAGGGCTTATCCTCGTCCATGATTACGTCACCAACGGAACTCTCGCGGATCATCTCCACGGGAGGAAGTCGAAGATGACGTGGCGGATACGGTTAGATATCGCTTTGCAGACGGCTTTAGCTATGGAGTATCTACACTTCTCTATCGCCCCACCCGTTGTTCATAGAGACATCACTTCGTCGAACATCTTCGTGGAGAGAGACATGAGGATTAAGGTGGGGGACTTTGGTCTCTCTAGGCTCTTGGTGTTGTCGGAGACGAGCGTGAACTCGGGTTCTACGTCTGATTACGTTTGCACGGGGCCGCAAGGTACGCCTGGTTATTTGGATCCGGATTATCACCGGTCTTTCCGGTTAACGGAGAAGAGTGATGTTTATAGTTACGGCGTCGTTTTGATGGAGTTGATGACGGGGATGAAGGCTGTTGACCAGCGTCGTGAGAAGAGAGATGTGGCTTTGGCTGAGCTGTTTGTGTCTAAGCTTCAGGTGGGTCTTCTTGATGAGGTGGTTGATCCGTTGCTTGTGGGTGATGATGATGACGGTGGTGGTGTTGCGGCGGTTGCTGAGCTGGCGTTCCGGTGTGTTGCGGTGGATAAGGATGATCGTCCGGACGCGAAGGAGATCGTTGGGGAGCTGAGGAGGATTAAGAGCCGTACAAGTGTGGGTGGAGATGACGTGGAGAAATGATGACTGTTGGATTAGATTACGATGATGTAATGTGATGGAAGTAAAAAGAGTTTGACTTGTCCCCACGTGTGTCAGTGTTGAAAGGCAAACCTTCTGAAACGACTAGAAGGAGATTCACATGAGTGTGTGTGTGTGACGTAATCGTAGTACACATCACTCGAAGTTTGTATTATGTTTATAGATTTGTACGTGTGAGAATAGAGATTCGGAAAAAAATGATTTTTATGTTTCCCGTAACCGTAAGATATCAATATTGGGGAACCAAATAATCAAGGATATCAAATCGTGTGTTTTCTATCAATGAAATAATCATGGCTTGTAACTCGCAGCAAGTGTAACAACAAGCACTTGATTCTAGATAAATATTGCTCCTTAGCATCAAATTACAAGGAAGTTGCGGATCTGACAACCCACATAAGAGAACTTACTCATGTGCATACGGATGCAGGAGCAGGCATAATCTTTTAGAGGCATTATCAAAACAACTTCCTTCCTGTTTTCAGAACATTTTCAAACCCACTTAACGAGAGGAAAAGCGTGTTATACTATACCGGTTTAGTATGATCTAGCCTTTACAAGTTATACTATACAGTACATATAATCATACAGGTTTAGTAATCTAATAACTTTTTTTTTGACTAATAGTAATCTACTTTGAGAGTAAGGTTAGATCATCAAGTTAAAGAGTAATAACATGAACCAAAGTTAGAACATATCTCAACAAAATCTATATTGTATTAAATTGTTATTTTCTTTCGAAATATCATTAATCTATCGACAAAAATCACAAACATAATAAAATTTATTAAGCGCACGAATAAAGACAGGATTGTACGCAACAAAAGAAAAAAGGATTGTACGCAGCACAGACATAATGTTTATCATATTCGGCATAACGAATTTTAATTGCATTCTCGCAAATAGCATCTCTTATACAAACAGCAATTATGGCAAACATAAACATCAAACATTTCTCTTTTTCCTTTAAAATGTTCATCTCACTGAACATTGAACTTCTGTTTAGCGAACTCAACAAACTCGGCGACTGTAGGCATGTAAGGCTTCACGGCTTCATGGGCTCTGAATCTCTCAGCCCACTGGACCAGGCCTGGTGTTGCGTCTGGACTCAAAAACTTCACACCTGAAAACGCCTCGATGACAGAGAGTGGACCCACTATAGCCCCACATGCGATATCAACGAACCCAATATTTTCCCCTCCAAAGAAACCTCCGCCTTTGCTGCTCTTCTGAAACGCCTCTTCCAACGCCGCGAGACACCCCATCAGATTTCCCGCCGCCGCCATCCTCCCGGCGTCGTCTTTGGCTCCAGCCACGGCATCGATTGATTCAAAGCACTGTCGTACCATGTTCAGAACATTAAATTCACATATTCTACAGCAGTTGTAAACTTGTAATAAAACATAGGTACTATTTGGTTTACCTTCTCAATTTTTTTTTAATATATATATATATGTACTAAGTTTTTTAAAATTGAAAAAGAGCTCCAAAATATGTTATATGTATATAGCTTTGTTTTCATAAAAAATAAACAAATTATTACTGCCTAAATTTTTAAACAAAAAGAATTATTTAAAACATCAAATAAATATAAAATTTTAAGCACTGTTTATAGCTATTAAAGTTGAGATGGAACATGTTTTATTACCTTTCCATCAACGAAGTGAGCCCAGAAACGAGCAGTGGCGCGATCTTTTGGGTTGGAAGGGAGGATGAAAGGCTTGGAAGGCCAGGCTTCGTCAACGTACTGAACGATGTTAAGTGACTCGCAGATTGACTCATCACCATGGATGAGGACAGGGACTTTCTTGTGGATTGGGTTGGATTTAAGAAGAAGATCGCTCTTGGATTTCAACACGTCGGCTTCTTCTATGTACTCATACTCTACGGACTTGAGGTGTAGAGCGATTCTACCCCTCAAGGCGAATGGGCTTGACCATGTCCCAATTAGCTTTACAGTGCTGTCCGAACCATTCTGAGCCATCTCTGTTTTTTGTCTTTTCTTGATTTGAGGTGTGTCTCGAGAGATGGATTTGTTTGTTTCCTTGTTTTTTAACATCTGATGAAAGATCGTTTTGAATGTTAATTTGATCGAGTTTTGAGTGTGTATTTATAAAGGAACAATTCGTTATTATGTTTTATTTCTTGAGCTTCTTCTTCTTTAGCTGGCATTTTGGCGGCTCTGTATATATTTTTAGAATTTGTTTATTGTATTTGTGTTTTCTACTTTAAAATAATAATCAAAGATTTTTCGTTGGAATTTAAGGTGTTTCAGTTTGACCGGCACTGAACTACGAAAGTTTGTCACCATTGACTGTTGACTAGTTTTTTAGTCCAATAGCATCCTACCATCCTCCTCCTAGGTTATCAATTATCAAAATATTTTTCATCCAAATAATTCAAAGATGGTAGGTGGATTTTATACTCCACCTTAATTCAATTATTTGTTATGGAATTATTTCCAAATAATTATTTGTTTCAGGTTCTGCGAGAACAAGATCTGTTGTTTCCAGTACAATAAATTCATACTAAACTAATTTTTTGATCTAGAAACAGCAATTTGTTCTAAATCTATTTTGGCAACCATGATGATTACTCACCTATACATAATTATCTAAATTTATTCAACTAAATATAAGAACTATCGAACTACATATACATGATCAAATAATGATTGATTAAAACAATGTTTTACTCCCTCCATATTTTTTTTAAAAAATTGACACTTAAAAAAATGGTTCAATATTATTTGATGTTTTCAATTTTCTGTATAAAAATTATGATTAGTAATGTCAAATGACCAAGGATATTACATTTACTAGTTTATTATTGGTCGAATGGTAGTTCGATAAACAATTAAGGATGTTTTTGTTTAGAAAAAAAAAACTTAATATGTTCCTTAATCTATGTATAAAATCTTAAAACATCAAATATAAAAAATGTAAGGAATAATTTATTTATAGCCAAAATAATTTTATTTATCCTCTTTTAACATAAAAGGGTTGATATATTACTCAATTTTTGGGTGGTCTAGTTGATCTATTACTCAGTGCGGTGGTTTACCATTGACCATTGTCTTCATCAGTCACCACTTGCTATGTGTATTTATGAGGTATTTCCAATAGATGAAATGTGGCGAAGCTTCCCTGCTCAATGGATATCACGTGGTATTTAGTTTTAGATATAAAATGTATTTACGTTTCCGCATTTATACGTCATAGTGCAAAAGTTCAACAGAAAAAAAAAATACAAATCAACAAAGAACTTTTTTGACTGTGCCTTTTAATTAATCGAGTCTATCATCTTATTCCTCGATCTCGATTATTCGATACATATGGTAACTTGTTCGTCGTCTATATTTTATTTTTAAAACCTTTGGTCTTCCTCTTAATTTTTCTTCATTTAAAGATTGAAGTATTGAACTTAAGCCTAGCGAACTCGACCAGCTTTTCAATATCAGGCATGACAGGCTTGACTGCTTCATGGGCGTAGAATCTGTCTGCCCAATGGAAAAGACCTGGTGTGTTCTCTGGATGTATGAACTTGACCCCAGTAAATTTCTCTAGAACCTTGAGAGGACCCAACATTGATCCAAAACCGATATCAATGAATCCAATGTTTTCTCCTCCAAAGAAACCTCTTCCTTTGCTGCATTCTTGAAATGTTTCTTCCAATAGAGCCATACATTGCTCTAGCTTTGCTATCGCCGCCTTTCTTTCATCCTCGTCTTTTGCTATTGCCACTCCATTGATTGATGTAAAACACTATAAAAGTTCAAGAAAAAATAGAATTATTATACAAACATACAATCAAAGTGTGTAATATTTGGTTTTAATTTTTTTTTTTTAGAGATTAGGGTTAAGGCAAAAATGAAACATGACTTACGTGTTCATCGATGTAAACGTCCCAAAAGCGAGCTACGGCACGATCAAAGGGATCAGAAGGAAGGATGGGAGGACCGGAGAGCCAAGTTTCATCAACATACATGACGATGTTGAGAGATTCACGGATTGGTTTATTACCATGGATGAGGATAGGGATCTGTTTATGGACGGGGTTATAGTTCAACACGCTCTCCGAATTCAAAGTATCTTCTTCTTCGAGATACTCGTACGCTACACGCTTTAGGTTAAGTGCGATCCTAGTCCTCAGCACGAAAGGGCTAGGCCATGCTCCTAACAGCCTTACGTACTCATCAGTTTTTGAACCATTCATTGAGCCCATAACGCTTAGCTTTTGGTTTCTGAAAGTACGAGAGATTATATTGATCAAACTCGCAGCTGCTTTTTGGTGGGGTAGGAATTGAACAGCTGTTTGTTTGATGAGGTTTCGACTTTGCGTTTGCGTCTATATATAGGGACGAGTCTCATTTGTGTTTTCTTTCTTCGTTTCGGCACGCATGATGGTCAAATAAAACTTCCGTATGTGCATGTGCATCATAATAATAATAATACGGAAAATAATTGAGTTTCAAATAAATAATTTAAAATGATATTATTGGGTCGATAGTAAATTTCAAAGTGACAAGAGAGTCAGGAAAGTGGGGTGAGTCCGGTTTAGTTGTCTCATCTGTACCGTTGCAAACACAGTAGGACCTACACTAGTTGCAATGGTATTCCAATTTGTTTTCCTTGCTTTTCTTACATCTTTGTTTTATTCTTCTTGCTAATTATTTGGAAAACTATGATTGCGCAGAAATTTGGAGAAATACTTTTCAAAAAAAAAAAGTTGGAGAAATATGTTTCTTTTTGTCTCATCTGCTTATATTTCCATAAAAAAGTGAACGGTTCATTTTTACAAAAACATAAATTTGAGGAAAAATTACAGAGGTATAAAACATATCAGTGTACAATACACATTTTAAACTTTAATTGTGTAACATTATAAAATTATTCTCCATTTTGTCTTAGGTAAAAAAATAGCTGTAATTTTTTTATTAATAAACTTGAGTCAAAGTTTTAAATGTTAAAATTTTGTTAATAATAAAAATAAATTTTATTTTTTTTCTGATTATAGCTAATGAATTTATCGTTAAAAACGTAATATCTAATTAAAATATATAAAAAAAATTTCGGATTTACGGTACATTGGATTCCCGGAATAGTGATGGAGTACGTATACCTTCGAATTCCGGATATCCTTTTTAGATCTATAACTAAAATTTTTAGTTGATATATTTTGGATACACACAGTCACTTGCGCGGTTCGTATACAAAGTAACCACGACCAAGTCAAAAGGATATATTTGCACGTCTTGGTTTGGTATAACGTTTGACAGCATTAATGATACATACATACCTAAATACCTACTCGTAAACTATTACTCCTTTTCAATGGTAAATATTGACTACAAAATTAAATGTACCTTATTCATATGGAGATGTTTGAGATTCTTCTCTTTTATATCCAAACGCATGGCTTTATTTTTTGTAACACTCCAAACGCATCGCTTGATTTGACTATTCAAGCTCTAATATGCCAGTATATGGTTTAACTTAATTGTTAAATTAAAAAGTCAAAACTTATGTTAGCCATGTTGGGTAATTCCAAGCTTGTGGAAACTTAACATATTATTGGATGTTTAATATGTTAAGGATAAACACAATAAGGAAATCTAGAAATAGGAAAATGAAGTTTTCTATTAGATTAGGTTTGTGTTTTTCATATCCCACATGTTCAAGGGAATTATCTTAACTATAAATATAGGTCTTATGGAGAGGTGTTCCATATGATCTAAGAGAAACATATTGTGAGCTTTAGTTTTGAGTAGTTTCTAAAGCTAATAAGAAAAGTTGTTCTTATAATCCTTGTGTTTCTAGAGATTTGAATTGGTATCAGAGCTTCTCAGGTTGGAGACTCGATCTAAGCTTAAGTTGAAGCTTCGATCTTGGTGCTCGTGACCAAGAGTACACGCGAGCAAGATGGCGGACGTGACTAGGGCTCCACGCACGAAGGACCTTGGAACTACATCCATCCAATGTCCTATGTTATCATCATCAAACTATACCGTTTGGTCGATGAGGATGAAGGTTTTACTTCGTGTTCATGAAGTATGGGACGCGATAGAACCTGGTTTGGATGATCGAAAGAAGAACGATGTGGCGATTACTCTTTTGTTTCAATCCATCCCTGAAGCTTTGATTCTCCAGGTGGGAGATCAAACCGCAGAAAAAGACATCTGGAACGCTATCAAGTCACGACACCTTGGAGCTGATCGTGTAAAGGAAGCGAGACTACAGACGTTGATGGCGGAGTTTGAAAGGTTGAAGATGGATGATAATGATAAGGTCGATGACTTCGCGGGGAAGATATCGGGCATATCATCCAAAGTAGCCTCGCTAGGTCAGAACATAGAGGAGTCCAAGATGGTTAAGAAGTTTCTGACGGGTCTTCCAAGTCAATACATCCATATCGTAGCGACGTTTGAGCAAGTCCTAGACCTCAACACTACGGCGTATGAGGACATCGTAGGAAGGATCAAGGCGTACGAGGATCGTGTAGGGGGAGAAGCTCAGAAAGTAGACCAAGGGAAGCTCATGTTTTCGAATAGTGACCAGCAATCTCATAAAAGCTATGAGAATTTCCGTGGTAGAGGTAGAGGACGGAATGGTAGAGGCAGAGGTCGAGGTGTGTCACACAACCAAAACCATGTGTCACACACTGAAGATAAAAACTCGAAGAAGGATCGTTCAAAGGTGATATGTTGGAGATGTGACAAGCCGGGTCACTATGCAACCTCCTGTCCCGAGAAGTCTGTGAAGAATCAAGAAACCAACCTAAACG